CGGCGCTAGAAAGAAATTTCAAGGAAGCAGAGCCAGGTACATCGCCAGCAAGACCGGCTGCAGGCTGACGGGCGTTGAGCTGCAGCCTGACATCTGCCGTGCTGGGCAGGTGGCTGGAGGGTAGATCATCTCGGTAGATCATACCAGCGAATGTAAAAGACCAAACTAAGATACCGCCTGAAACTCAGCTCTTCACGATAGATGTAGCTGCCAACGTCTCAGTGCTTTGCTTCAGCGAGGGGGTCTATCAGAGTCTATCATGTTCTTATTTCAGAGTCCATGAGCGGCACGGACGTTGAAGAAAGACGTTGTTCAGGGTCAGTGACAACATTTGCAGCGGATTTTGTTTTTTTAGCTGCATAGCAGTTTGAGGGTGGCGGGGGAGGGGGGGGAAGAGGGGGCGGGGGGGGCGGGGGGGGGGAGGAGGGGGTTGGCCGGGGGGGGGGGGGGGGGGGGGGGGTGGGGGGGGGGGGGGGGGGGGGGGGGGGGCTAAGATGGACACTCAAAGGCTATGCTGCACGTGCGTGCCTTGTAAACAAATGCTTTACAAAGGAAACACCCGCAGAATAGACGCAACGCACCCGCAGAATAGACGCAATGCACCCTTAGCATCAGCACACTGTGCCTTGGGCGGGGGCGCGGAGGGCGCGGAGGCGCGCAGGGCGCGGAGAATAGACGCAATGCACCCTTAGCATCAGCACACTGTGCCCTGGGCGGGGGCGCGGAGGGCGTTCGCGGAGGGCGCGGAAAGTGACTATCCACTTAAACCGGATATATCACACACTGAACCAAATGTCACGCTCCCCGCTCCGCCTCCCCACGCCACGCCCCTCTCCCAGCAAAATGTTCCGACCCCCCCTCCCTTGACGGTGTCGTCTCCGTGGCCTCCCGTCAAAATTCCGACCCTCCTCCGTTGACCGTCTCCTCTTCGTGGCCTCTTTCGCCAAAAAGCGATCCGATAGAATGCCTTCTTCGTTGGCGCCAAATTTCAGAGAGAAAACAAAGAGCACGCGCAGAATAGACGTTAAGCATCCAAGGAAAGGGAAGGAAAGGGAAGGAAAGGGAAGGAAAGGGAAGGAAAGGGAAGGAAAGGGAAGGAAAGGGAAGGAAAGGGAAGGAAAGGGAAGGAAAGGGAAGGAAAGGGAAGGAAGGAATGAAACCTTCGTTTCTCGTACTTCAATGAGCCCTAAACCTCGTGCTAGTACTCCTCGTTCCGCTTAGAAGCCCATCAACTACAACAGCATTGGGAACGATGCTTGCCCTTCTATCCAGGAGCTGACGGAGAGAGTGCCTGGGCTTGCAGAGAGGGTCAACTTCATGGCCCCTCTTGCTTGTTTAAATTCGGCTTGCAAGAGAACTCACCAACGTTGCCCTGTCAGGTTGCTTAGGATTGCCCAGTCTCTCGCTTCCGTCATCATCAGCTGTCGTGGAATTTCAGTGGTGCGTCCCGGACTAATGCATCAAATGCCCATGTCTTCATCTTTGATGAACAGGCGGCAGCATCATGAAAGTTGATCCTGGCCGCTTGTCAAGAACGCGAGAGCTTGTTGGACGGTGACCCTCGGCCAGGTCGGAGACATCATCACCCTGTCCCAGACTAAAGAGATCCCTGACGAGACCTTCGACCACTTCTTGCTAGCGCCCCAGCTACGCGGAGCTTGTGTGGGAACCAGAAGCACCAGCCTGTGGTCATTCGGTCTCACAAATCTTCTTGGTCCTGATTTGCACAAGCTGTCAGAGTTCACATTCGGGCCCAGAATTCAACACTTTCTCGTGCCAGACACTACCAAGCAAGGCTCCAGAGCGAATCAATGAGGTCGAGTTGAATCACACACACAAGACACAAAAACAACTATTGGCTTTGACATCCGAGCTTTGAGCAACATCAAGTAGCTGCTTCCCGAATGCAGCGTTAAACCGTGCTGACAGTTGAGGTCGCTCCTGGTATTCTTGCACCTTGGCAACAGTCGGGTAGAGGATGCATGTTGCAGTTGGAATTTGCCGTGAGACGCAGCTGAACTTCTCCATTGGAAGTGTCGGATTGGGACCACTCAACACGTATCGCATGAATGCGCATACAAAGTACGGCAAAGGCTGCACAGACGTGCTTGCGAGTCTGCAAAATAAAGCTACAATTGAAGATGCGAAGATGCCAATGGTTCATGGTGATCGAAACAAAGTCAAGCTGTTGGGCACGCCAGCTTTGGGTCCTCGGCCCGACGCCCTTTGCAATCTGACGATACCGAATATGCGGAGAGGCACATCCCTGACCGAGCTGGACTCCTTGAGGCTGGATGGGGTCGGGCGAAGGGACCAAGTGGATACGGTTCCCGTGCAGAGTCTGGGGTTTAAGTTGGTCCGATCCAGAGGTTCTTGGCAATTAGCAGAGGCCAAGCGTCAGCCAAGAACAGTGCAGATGCCACACAGCCGGTCAGCCAGGCGTGCTACAACGCCATGAAGCCTGGTGGTTCTTTTCTTATTGAAGACTTTGCGGCCAAGCCAGGCTCCTTTCCTCTGCCGAAAGATGCATGTCACTCCTGAGCCTTTTGTTTCGTTCTCGTACTGCTTGCAACTTGTGAGTGAACCATGGACAAGTTAAGCCACATTGAAGATGCCTGAAATCACGCGAGCCCTCGATGTCGGTACCTTCCATGATGGGCCATTTGCCAGGCAAGTCCTTCACTTCGCTGGAGCGGTCATCCCTTTTGGATGTTGTCTCAGCGCCCACCGTTCCTTGATCGACATCAGCCTGCCAGCGGATGGGCTGGGTTTACATGCGAAACCCTTTCGGGTTCAGGGATCGTGAATCGTGATATAAAGCTGTGCGAGCTTCGTTTTCCGCAGTTGCGTTTGGCAGCGTGGGTAGCGTAATCGGGACATGGGCAGTTTTCCTGCAGCGTCACGTGCTGAAAGTTCAGGTAACTACACCAGAGCAGTGAGCCGGCAGCATTGAGTGGGAACTGCTCGCCAGCGTCATGTTGTTGCATTGCACCTTTAGACCATGTTCTTTGACCTGCACAGCGCTGAGCAAGCTTTTTGGGAACCTTTATGTTGCCATGGAGTGAAGCCCCCCACACACATGCTGGCCCTTGATTATATGCAAATATGACTATGATCAGATATATAAATCGTTCTGAAGAGTTGCGGATCACTGCCGGAGGTATGTCGCCGACTTGCAGGCGGCCGGCTTTGTGGACATACGAGTGGTGGATCTCAGTGAGCAGTGGAAGAAATGGACCAAGGCGGGCACGGGCTGATGTCGCCTAAACCTTCTCCCTAAAACCAGTTCAGGGAGGCCCAGGGGCAGGATGTCGCATCGGGCACAGACTGGTCTTGGGTACACACAACCCATAACACAGCAGATCACAGTAGATCACAACAGAGGCAGCAGTAGCACGAGATTTATTTGAGTGTTGCCCCTTCAAGGCTCGACACGCTTCTTCGGCTGCATGTTACCCTGGGGACCAAGATTGGGTGGTGTGCACTCCAGTACAGTTCTTTGACGCGCGTGTTGTTCGCGGCAAGTGCCAGACGGCATGTTGCAAGCTGCTCAGGACTTATATTTCGAGTCGAAGGAAGAGACATTGAAAATGCATGGAGAGGACCCCAACCGGGCGGGCTCAGAGTACAAATGTGTTATTGCATGTAGGGCTAGACGGGGCATCCGTTTGTGCTCGCATGATATCTTGGCCACGTCGCCTTGCAACTGTCGCTGTGGCCTGAATCAACTCCTGGTGCCTGGCACTTGCGTGTGGAGCTACGCAGGCCATTTTCAACTCGAGACTTCACTTTTACAAGGTTGTCATGGATCTCTTTGTCCGAATCTCAGTCTGTGGGCACCGCTAACTTACAAAGGTAACAAGCTTACACAATACTTTCCAGTGCCAACAAGCTCGCACAGTGCTTTTCTCGTGCTGGGGCCCTCACTGTTGCTGCACTCTAAACCAGCTCCTCTTGTGCGAGAGCCGCTGCGAACCAAGGACGGAAACCTTGGTGGCGCTACCTGGCAAATCATGGAGAGAGACTGCGAGAGGGGCCTTTAACCTAGAGGAGGGCTGATTGTCCCCTTGCCTCGTGTCGTCGAATCTGGCGCCTTGCTTGCGCAGATGGACTATGAATATTACCATTACCGTTTGGATCCTGGGCAGGCAGAGTTGCCCCCGTCGTCACTTCCAGTTGATAGTGTATAAGTTGGTATTAGCTGGAGCTGCGCCGGTCGGTGCAGTGAAGTCGTCACTTCCTTCGTTTCAGTTTTGCACCAGCATTACTCAGCTTGAGAGTTTGCTGGTCATCCCCTCAAGTCTGTATGAAGCCCCTGATTTGAAATGGCTCTAGGCCCGACTCGAGGCAGATGAGGTCGTGCAGGTTGTTGGGGGCCGGTATACACAACACAAAGGTTCGCATCACCGGGCGAAGGCCTGGGAGATTGGAGTCCCGGCTGCTGGCTGGGCGGCAGAAGGAGGGATCGGCGTGCAGTGCCGTATTTCATTTTTTGGGGTGTTGGGAAGTCAAGCATCGACCTGGCGCTGATGCTTCAAGCTTTGGTCACTTTGGCTTTCAACTGTCAGAGGATTTGCTGGAGGGCGAGTGCGTCGTGAATGTGGTGGAAGGCAAAGTGTTTAAGTGAGTACAGAGAAATTGACCTCTGGCGGTTCCCTTCACGACCACGAGATCTCAGTATTCGCGATCATCGAAGCTAATGATGCCTAGTGACCTAGTGATCATAGTCGGACGGGAGCCTGCCATAGTTTTAACCCCAGATAACGACACGGATTGAGCATTCTGCCTCAACAGAAGACAGACGTGACAAATATCTTTTGCCATGGCCCGAGATGACAGCGAGACAGCTTGCTGCAAAAGACAAGGAACAAGCTGCAAAGGCACATGATGCCGGCCTTTGGAAGTGGGACTGCGGCAGCTATGGGAAGGGAATGCTGTGAACATGTCGTGCTGCAGGGTCTCGGCAGGCTGGGTTTGACTTGGCTTGGCTATAACCTCAGGTGTCCACTGGGCGCTGTGCTTCCACAGGCAGGACTTCCAAGATTTCGCACACCTCCGCACGTAAGGTGAGAGAGTGTCGGTGATCTTACTGATGGCTGCCAGCTGTGGCATGTCACATGTGCACAGTTGTGCACCTTGCACACCTGCGAAGCAACAGCGCACAAGAGTAGCTGCTCAGGGAGTCCTTGATGACTCTGCAGAGTCGACTGTACTTGTGCATGTAAAGCGACGCAGTCGCACACATACAACGCACGTGTTCCTGGGTCCTGGTTGATGGCCAGGCAGTGCGGAGCAGCGCATACTAAGTAAGGAGGAGTTCGAGTCCCTGTCCAAAACCGGCTCGTCTCTTGGTTGCACCGAAACTTGCAATTGAGTGAGCTGGACAGTCTCCGAAACCTTGGTGCTTGCTTCTTTCCTGGCGTCCAAGAGTTCAACTTGCTTTGCAAATGCATCATGCGTCGGTTTAGCTGGATGGGCTCGATGAAAGTCATAGAAGGTAGCTCGTTGGCAATTCACGATCGTTCTTGTTTGTCATGTCTCTTCTTTTCACCTGTTACCCCGAGGCCTGAATGGTTTGAAAACCTTTGTACGCTTCACTTCCCCCACCTCTCCCCATCTACCCCACCTCTCCCCATCTACCTCTCCTCCCCCCGCCCCCCCCAGTCCGGATAAGTTGATTAGTTGAATTGAATTCGGAAGGGGGGCACGGGGGCGTCAGCATGACTAGGCACTTGTGGACGTCACGCTTTTCTCTGCTTAGCGAAGTGGTTTTCCCTTGCAAGCTCTTCACTCCTTGGCCTCCTGAGCCTCATGCCCGAGCATGTCCGAGGCTCGCAGTCTCTTACAGCCCCAGCGGAGAGGATTTGGAGGAGGTTCGGTGCATCAACGCACGAGTTTAGACAACGGGTCTCAATGCTGCTATTCCTTGTCATGTCTAGATGGCCGATGATGACAGGTTGATGTGGGCCTGCCTGCAATGTCTGTGCTCGCCTCCGTGCAGGATAGCTCAGTGTTGAATTTATGTTGGGGGCCCCGGGACGGAATTTAAGGGTTGATAGATTGTGGCGGACGAAAAGGGGTAACTGCGACAAGAAAGGAGCTCGTAGTGCTACACACCACGCAATGCATCCAAATTGTTTAGGGCTAAAGTTTAGGGTTGAGGGAGCGTAAGCACAGTTCAGCCTAGGGCATCAGCCTATCCTGGCATGCAAGCTCAGCAAAAGCTGGCCTCCACGACGCAGAAGCCAGTATTGTTTCTTGGCTCCAGCTTTGGCAGCACGAACCCGTCGACGGGCAAGCTGCTCACTGCCATCCTTTCGTGATTCTCGTCTTAATAAAAAGGTGTTTACACAAAAAAGCACAACTAGTCACCAATGCTTCTACCTTCGTTGTTCAGCAACTCAGACGTCGGCCTTCAAGCCCTCAACCTATGCCTCCACATGGGGATCTGCTGGCTCAGCCGTGACGTTTTTCTCTTGACTGCAGGGGCCTCATGACTTTAGTGATTGAGGGCTGGGTACTGCGTTGAAATTTGTTGAAGAGAGTTCTGGCACAGAAGCAAGATATCACGGATTGAGATAGAAGAGGGGAGTGAACTAGACCACTCGCAGTTGCATCTGTGTGAACTCGAGTAGTGAATCTCAAGGATTCTTACAGCAGGGCACATCGGTGCGGTGTTGTGTCAAAATTCAGACACGGAAGTCGTGTCCCTTAAGCAGCTCTACCTGACCCTGCCTCTACGGTCCCTACAGGCACTTCGTGAGTCAAACAAAGACTAGTCACGACCACTGGGAACAACTGCAGACTGCCAAGTCTAGAGCCATCGAGCCCACTTCAGCTGAGCCGGCCTTACTCTGATTGGGCTTCAAGTGATTGATTCATTTGCACCTGCATTTCAGAACCAGTCCCCGCATGCCCCAACTCCAACTCCCACTGCAAAATAGGCAAATACATTGCAAGAACTCCCGGGAGTCCAGCTTGCTGATTATATTAATATACTAATATAAGAATCTAAGAATATACGAATATTCTAATCATATAATCATAGAATAACGGAAGCAGAGAATGATAGAGCAATGTTCCCAGACCGAAACCTTCCCGAAGCTCCCAACTTCATCTAGCAGCGTCGAGCAGCGTTGTATAGCTTGTTGCGCCATGTCGCATCCCTGCACATGCAGCTGCTCCTGCGGTTGGTGCCTTCGAACATATTGCATGGAAGACGGCCTAGGGAGACTGATATAAGGAAGTGAAGCACGAACGCGACATTGCGGCTACATTGCTGCATGCATTGCATGATCCTTTCAAGAAGCCCTTCTTATCCCAAACTTCTGACTCCTGACTCGGCACCCAAGCCTTCCCACGCAAATTGGCCGCCAGGTATCCTCCCGTCCAGGTTGAGGGGGCACCAGCAGATGCGTGGTGGAAAGAGGCCATAAACTTGAAGCATCTTGAAGCTGACAACATCTTGAAGGCAAGTGAAGGCAAGGGACGATTTTTTTGTGTCGTTCTTTTGCATCAAAGGGCGGATGTCGGATGTTGGTGCGACTCCACTTTCAGACTTGTAACCGGAGTATTGTTGTCGTAGTGACGGTGAGGCCACTTACCCTTTGAAATGGATGGTTCTCAACCCCTGTTGAAAGAGGCCATCCGCCATGAGACAGAGAATCGCTGGCATCTTCGGCTGATACCATGTTGCTGCTTGCGAGACGGGTTGCGGACTTGAGACCGGGGTCTGTAGTTCATAGCGTAGTCGTGTCATGCAACGACTGGAGCGACATAGTCAGTTGCTGTGCCTCCCATGATGCATGTGCAGTATCTCTTTGCGGGACGATGCCACAGGTATGTACGTCAGCTACCGGGCTCCTGGGCGGCCACCTTCGGCGGCTCTCAGGCGAGGGCACCTGTTAGTGATTTGGACCCCTGAAATGGTGTTCCTGTATTCCTGGGCTACTTGCGACCCGCCTAAGCCGAGGCCAGCTGAACCACACACCTCACATTATGCTGTTAAGCCCAGCTTGCCCCAACACGAGCATTCTGAAGCGTTTCCGAAATACTCCGGAGGTGGGCGAGCTGATCAGACATCAGGTGGAGCCCGCATCGGACCGATCGTGGCGTCCCTATGGCCGACGAGTACTGACGGAGCCGCGGGAGAGTGTGGACTGCAAGAAGGCCATGACCTGGTATGATCAACAGGAGTTCGAACCTAGATCGGTGCCACGCCCGGCGGAGGGGCCCAGCCAGGACCGAGATTATTTGGCGCCCGCAGCAGGCATTCCTTCCTTTCCAGTCCTCCCCATGCCGGCTCCCGTGGCTCCTGCAACCGGACGCGCGAGCGTGAACGCACCAGCAGGACCAACGACCGGACCGTATCCGGGGCATCCGGGGCATGGGGAGGTACCAGCTGGAATGCGAATGGAACCGATCACCTTCAAGCAGGCGGCAGAGCCCGTCTCACGGGAACTTGCCGGCAAGGATCTCCAGATGCCCCAGGCGTCGCCGTCTTCGGCGGCCGACAAGGACTGGCCGTCAGCGCTTTGGGAGCTTGCTTGTGTGGCTGCCGAAGTGCAACATGGGTGCTAGGACTCCACGCTTGTCCCGGATGACTTTCCAACTCTGGGCCAGCCGACCGTGGCGACTTGGTCTCAACAACAAATCAGATGTGTAGCTAGAGGGATCGAACCTTGAAGCGATGAACTTTACGGTGTACGTGCCGGAGAACGCAACATAACAAGTCCTTGTTGCAGTCCCATCGCTCCACGCTTCCCCAGCCCCAAGCAGCCACAGCTCGGATAGACTCTGAAAGAGGGAGGGAGCAAGGACAGGACACGTTGCAGCCCCCCAGTCAAGCTAGGCAGAGGTTGACGAAGTCTGCCCGGAAAGGCAACTTCGAATGCCAAGAGTCATCCGATCCGAGCGCCCATGCGAAACCCTCAATCCAAACAGCGTTTCGGCGGTCTGACCTTCAGGCCGCTCGGGAGAGGGAGGCGATGGAATCCATGCCCCGCCCTAAGTGGGCCCGATGGGGTCTCCTTAGGTCTCCTTGCCCCTAGGCTCCTTCAAAGTGCCCTTTTGTTTTTTGTTTTTTGTAAACTCCAAGGGTACTGGGGCAACCCGGAACCCGGTCCAGTAGAACCGGTAGAGCCTCAAGGTGCGGAGCAGCGAACGGGGCGAAGCTCCAGGCCGGTTTGGATATTTCTCGGGCTACGCTCAGGTTTCAGGGCGCGGCACGCGGGCTCTTCTTGCATCAGCGACTCTGTGCAACTTCAAGTTCTTGACAGCAGGATAACCGAAATTAGGGGTACCTGTTTTGGGGTCCTTATCACAAGGGGATCCTACTGTTTGGGGTCTATAGTCATTCCTTTCCAAAACAGTACGAAATTTCAGTCCACGCAAAGCGTGAGTGGGGGTTTTGGGACGGAGGCCAGCTCCGTGCGCAAGGACTGCCCCGGCTCGATTCATGTCAATCAATGTTACAGGTAGCAAAGCAAAACTCGCCGTCGCGGCTCAGCCTCAAATCACGCAGCTTCTAGATCAGCATGTCAGCATCCAAGAAGAGTTTGCTTTGTTTCCCGGCAACTCCGCCTGCCTTTTCCCACCTTTTTTGCCAGTTGGAGGAAAGCAGGGAAAGGGCGAAGGACCGGATGAAGGAACGGCAGAAGGAGGCCAGCGGCGCAAACCTGGCAACATTGCCTTTCAATGGCCAAGTAGATGTTTCACCATGCGCTACATGTTTCTAACGTCACGCGGTACGGATTGCAGCAGGTTATAGCGAGGCCGTACACCCTGAGTTCCGACCAGCATTTGCTTGTCCTGTCTTGCGAACCCAAATGTCATCAAATCTCTATCTAAGCTTCACCAAGCTTCGCTCGGGATGTCGCACCTTTTGTGCAGAAGTGCCTGCTGCAGTTTCTGCTTTGGGACCACGGACTGTGCAGGCTGAAGACCAGTACATCAGCCGGCAGAAGCCCAAGCCGGAGCCTTACGGGCCAAATCTCAGCAGGACCCCTTGGCCCGGAGGTAGTCTTCAGGAGTTGCCACCCACACCTTACGTAACTTCCGAAATTGAGCAGACGTTTGAAAGGGGATGAAAGGGATAAGTGCAAGGCTGGGCGACTGGAGCGTCCTGCGGCAGAGCTCTGTGCCAGTTCGTGGTACTCAGGCCTGGCAGGGGCTTGGCAAGACTGCAAGTGTTCGTTTGGCTTAGGCCAGCTTAGGCACAAGAATGTTGAGACAGTGGCCAGGTCAAGTCCTCCGCAAGTGCTTTTCTGCACATGCACGAATCTCAACTCGCACTTGAATCTCTCGAGTGACCCTACATCTCAAGGCCATGCTGAAACCCTCTTCGAACTTTGACTCGCAATCCTTTGTCAACTCCGTGCTGAGCGTCGGACACTTGCGGTCTCTTGCGCTTGGAGGTGCGGTCATCATCCGCCCAGCGTCAGAAGGAGGCATCCTGGTCTTTGTCACAGCAGCAGAGAGGGACGAATGCTGATGCCATAGCTACAGTGATGCAAGGCTCTGAAGCCCTGATGCAGCCAAACACAAATCAGGTCTTTTACGAATTGACAGGTGTCCGCATGGATCATCCCTAGCACACCCTAGCCTGGAAGTCGGGACGTCGCCTGAGATCGACCCTCAGCCCTGACCCTCAAGTCTGTGACACGTTGAATGGCAAACGATCAGCGTCTCAAACTAGAAGGTTGTGGCGACAGGTCTGGCTTGCTCTTTCACGATCTTTCACGGGTTGCCATGGAATACCCTCCCTGCAGTCAGCTGTCAATTCCTTGTTCTTATTATTAATAGTATTATTACTATTAGTAATAATATTATCTGCTCTGTTCCCAAGTCTGACCTAAACACCCAGCACTCGGAGAAATTTTGCGCCGTGTGATCCATTTGGAGGCGCCAAGCGCCGAGACTCGGCGCGTGTCCTTTGCAGCTCGTGCAGAGGGCCGGCCGGGCCCTCAAAGCCACTGAGGCTTGCTGCTTTGATGCCATGAA